CAGGGGTTTTATAACCCTCCCTTGCTCCATCCAAAATGGAAAGTTTTGCTTATAGTTCTACTTCAAAAAATATATAAACCAAACATTTCATATTCCTAATATGTGCCTGCTGTACCTTGTGTACATAGTGTGGTCAGTTCTCTAGCTGTGCTGGGAGCTAATCCAATAATCAGGCTTGTGCTGACAGCATGCACAGCATTTCACTGGGAGGATGCTGTTTCTCCTCTCCTGCACTTATGCAGCTGAGAACAGAGGGTATGTGATCACTTATAAAACAAAATGGGAAAAGGTATTTATGTTTATTTATCAATACACATTTTTTTGCCTTTCATTTCTATTTTAAATTGAATGGGTTGTTTTACAAGGTGCTCCTGAATTCAGAGTTGCCACTCTCATGTAGGCTATGCCTGCTGGCACTATGTGTCATGACTATCAGCATTGTCACTGCTGATTCAGAAGTCTGCAGCTTGTTAATTCGCACCTGGCCACACCTACCCCCCACCCACTGCCTTCTGGATTGGCACTGTAGCTTCTGTTGCTGAAAACCTCCCCCTGCAGGCTTCTGGAAGAAAGAGCATGTGACACACAAAACGGAAGATTTGACAAGCATTTTTGTTTACTTTATGAAGCTTGTACATCACATAGTACTGGGTTTGGGACTATTTTTTTTAGATGTCACACAGAAGACTAATTGTAAATCAATTACGTCTCCCCCCAAAAAAATTAAAAGTCAGCAGCTATCAAAACTACAGCTCCAGACTTTTAATATAAGGACACGTACCTGTCCAGGGATCCAGAGCTTTGCTGCTTCACAGCCAATTTCCCACTGCACATGAATGAGCCGTGTTGTGCTTTGTAAATGGCCCCACAGTCTTCCGGGGCCTGTGATGTGTCGGCTGCAGGGGCAGGAGGAGGTGACAGAACTTCAAAACCAGGTTCTTGCTTCCCCTCCCAAGAAGTTCCAAATGTGAAAGAGGAGGGGGGATGCACATAGACAGAACTTCCCCTTTTGGGTGAAATTATGCTTTAAGTCATTCTATAACTGCTTTAATTGTACTGTAACAGAATTTGGAATTGCATGCATAAAACAGGTTTAAATATAGGTTTTGCACTGTGCATTCTCACCTCCAGGATGGTCTTTGCAAAGAGTGCAACAGATGGATGAAAGTGATTGGAAAGCTGAACAAAAAAGAAAACAAATTGTTTTAATAACTTTCAAAAGGTGGCTTTAAAAAAACAAAAACCTCTTTCCAAGAAATTATACATAAACTAGCGAAAATATTACCAGAAAAATATATCTTAAAGGAACAAATTCACAGAAGTACTAAATACCTGCAGACATTACTTTTCTCAACATTTATTTTAAGAAATCAAAATTAAAACAAAACCCAGAGTTGTCAGCAATTTCTGAAGGTTTCATAGCATATCTTAAGGCTTTAAAAAGCGGTCACTGATTCTTTAAATTTGAAAAATATCATACTGAAAGGGTTTGTGACCAGGGGAGTATTTACCGCGAGGCAAACAAGGTATTTTCCTAGGATGGTACTTTTAAAGAGAGCAGCCACCCAGCTGTCACTTGCACAGCTCGTATGACAGGAGTTTAAGAAGAAGCTGCGGCTAGAGGAGTGGATCCTGGCAGCTCATCCTTCTCTATGACTGCCAGGTGAGGGTGACAATGGTACATCTCTCTCTCTCTCTCTCTCTCTTTCTATTTCTCCCTCTCTCTCTCTTTCTACAGCCCTTTATCTCTTTCTTTCTCCAGCTCTATTTCTCCCTCTCTTTCCTTCCATTTCTCCCACTTTCTACAGATCTTTATTTCTCTCTCTTTCTCCCCCTTTCTTCCTCTCTCCCTCTCTCTCGCTCTCTTTTTTTCCTCTCTCTCTCATTTGGTGGGGTCCAATTTTTCTGTTGCCTAGGGCAGCACAATAGCAAAATACACTACTAGTTGTAACTATTAGTTTTTTTTCTAAAACTATGTGGATGATCAGCTTAAAAAAACAAACCCCATACTTTTCCTGTTCAGGGAAAAGTAACATTTGTAGTAACAGTAACAGTAATTTGTAGTAAAAGTAACAGCCACCCTTCCTCATCCTGTTCACTTGCTGGAGCATCAATGGTGACAGACAAGTACCGTATTTTTTGCTCCATAAGACACACCTGACCATAAGATGTGCCTAGGTTTTAGAGGAGAAAAACAAGAAAAAAAATATTCTGAACCAATGGACTGCAGACATAGTACAGGAAGTGACCAGACACTGCGGAAAAAGTACAGGAGATGACCAGAGACTGCAGACAGTACAAGATATGACCAAAGACTGCGGACACAGTGCAGGAGATGGACCACAGACTGCGGACACAGTGCAGGAGATGGACCACAGACTGCGGACACAGTGCAGGAGATGGACCACAGACTGCGGACACAGTGCAGGAGATGGACCACAGACTGCGGACACAGTGCAGGAGATGGACCACAGACTGCGGACACAGTGCAGGAGATGGACCACAGACTGCGGACACAGTGCAGGAGATGGACCACAGACTGCGGACACAGTGCAGGAGATGGACCACAGACTGCGGACACAGTGCAGGAGATGGACCACAGACTGCGGACACAGTGCAGGAGATGGACCACAGACTGCGGACACAGTGCAGGAGATGGACCACAGACTGCGGACACAGTGCAGGAGATGGACCACAGACTGCGGACACAGTGCAGGAGATGGACCACAGATGGACCACACTGCGGACACAGTGCAGGAGATGGACCACAGACTGCGGACACAGTGCAGGAGATGGACCACAGACTGCGGACACAGTGCAGGAGATGGACCACAGACTGCGGACACAGTGCAGGAGATGGACCAGAGACTGCGGACACAGTACAGGAGATGGACCAGAGACTGCGGACACAGTACAGGAGATGGACCAGAGACTGCACACACAGTACAGGAGATGGACCAGAGACTGCACACACAGTACAGGAGATGGACCAGAGACTGCGGACACAGTACAGGAGATGGACCACAGACTGCGGACACAGTGCAGGAGATGGACCAGAGACTGCGGACACAGTGCAGGAGATGGACCAGAGACTGCGGACACAGTGCAGGAGATGGACCAGAGACTGCGGACACAGTGCAGGAGATGGACCAGAGACACGGACACTGCGTACAGGAGATGGACCAGAGACTGCGGACACAGTACAGGAGATGGACCAGAGACTGCGGACACAGTACAGGAGATGGACCAGAGACTGCGGACACAGTACAGGAGATGGACCAGAGACTGCGGACACAGTACAGGAGATGGACCAGACAGTACAGACTGCGGGACACAGTACAGGAGATGGACCAGAGACTGCGGACACAGTACAGGAGATGGACCAGAGACTGCGGACACAGTACAGGAGATGGACCACAGACTGCGGACACAGTACAGGAGATGGACCACAGACTGCGGACACAGTACAGGAGATGGACCACAGACTGCGGACACAGTACAGGAGATGGACCACAGACTGCGGACACAGTACAGGAGATGGACCAGAGACTGCGGACAACAGTACAGGAGATGGACCACAGACTGCGGACACAGTACAGGAGATGGACCACAGACTGCGGACACAGTACAGGAGATGGACCAGAGACTGCGGACACAGTACAGGAGATGGACCAGAGACTGCGGACACAGTACAGGAGATGGACCAGAGACTGCGGACACAGTACAGGAGATGGACCACAGACTGCGGACACAGTACAGGAGATGGACCAGAGACTGCGGACACAGTACAGGAGATGGACCAGACTGACTGCGGACACAGTACAGGAGATGGACCAGAGACTGCGGACACAGTACAAAGATGGACCAGAGACTGCGGACACAGTACAAAAGATGGACCAGAGACTGCGGACACAGGACAGGAGATGGACCAGAGACTGCGGACACAGGACAGGAGATGGACCAGAGACTGCGGACACAGGAGGAGATGGACCAGAGACTGCGGACACAGTACAGGAGATGACCAGAGACTGCGGACACAGGACAGGAGATGGACCAGAGACTGCGGACACAGGACAGGAGATGGACCAGAGACTGCGGACACAGGACAGGAGATGGACCAGAGACTGCGGACACAGGACAGGAGATGGACCAGAGACTGCGGACACAGGACAGGAGATGGACCAGAGACTGCGGACACAGACAGGAGATGGACCAGAGACTGCGGACACAGGACAGGATGGACCAGAGACTGCGGACACAGGACAGGAGATGGACCAGAGACTGCGGACACAGTACAGGGGACACTGCGGACAGGGACAGGAGATGGACCAGAGACTGCGGACACAGGACAGGAGATGGAGACTGCGGACCAGAGACTGCGGACACAGGACAGGAGATGGACCAGAGACTGCGGACACAGGACAGGAGAGATGACCAGAGACTGCGGACACAGGACAGGAGATGGACCAGAGACTGCGGACACAGGACAGGAGATGGACCAGAGACTGCGGACACAGGACAGGAGATGACCAGAGACTGCGGACACAGTACAGGAGATGGACCAGAGACTGCGGACACAGGACAGGAGATGGACCAGAGACTGCGGACACAGGACAGGAGATGGACCAGAGACTGCGGACACAGGACAGGAGATGGACCAGAGACTGCGGACACAGTACAGGAGATGGACCAGAGACTGCGGACACAGGACAGGAGATGGACCAGAGACTGCGGACACAGTACAGGAGATGGACCAGAGACTGCGGACCACAGTACAAGGAGATGGAGATGGACAGTACAGGAGATGGACCAGAGACTGCGGACACAGTACAGGAGATGGACCAGAGACTGCGGACACAGTACAGGAGATGGACCAGAGACTGCGGACACAGTACAGGAGATGGACCAGAGACTGCGGACACAGTACAGGAGATGGACCAGAGACTGCGGACACAGTACAGGAGATGGACCAGAGACTGCGGACACAGTACAGGAGATGGACCAGAGACTGCGGACACAGTACAGGAGATGGACCAGAGACTGCGGACACAGTACAGGAGATGGACCAGAGACTGCGGACACAGTACAGGAGATGGACCAGAGACTGCGGACACAGTACAGGAGATGGACCAGAGACTGCGGACACAGTACAGGAGATGGACCAGAGACTGCGGACACAGTACAGGAGATGGACCAGAGACTGCGGACACAGTACAGGAGATGGACCAGAGACTGCGGACACAGTACAGGAGATGGACCAGAGACTGCGGACACAGTACAGGAGATGGACCAGAGACTGCGGACACAGTACAGGAGATGGACCAGAGACTGCGGACACAGTACAGGAGATGGACCAGAGACTGCGGACACAGTACAGGAGATGGACCAGAGACTGCGGACACAGTACAGGGGATGGACCAGAGACTGCGGACACAGTACAGGAGATGGACCAGAGACTGCGGACACAGTACAGGAGATGGACCAGAGACTGCGGACACAGTACAGGAGATGGACCACAGACTGCGGACACAGTACAGGAGATGGACCACAGACTGCGGACACAGTACAGGAGATGGACCACAGACTGCGGACACAGTACAGGAGATGGACCACAGACTGCGGACACAGTACAGGAGATGGACCACAGACTGCGGACACAGTACAGGAGATGGACCACAGACTGCGGACACAGTACAGGGGATGACCAGAGACTGCAGACAGTACAGGGGATGACGAGAGACTGCAGACAGTACAGAGGATGACCAGAGACTGGACAGTACAGGAGATGACCAGAGACTGCGGACAGTACAGGGGATGACCAGAGACTGCAGACAGTACAGGGGATGACCAGAGACTGCAGACAGTACAGGGGATGACCAGAGACTGCAGACAGTGCAGGGGATGACCAGACTCTGCGAATCTTTAGGGAGGGAGGGGGAGCTGGTACCTGAATTTGACAGGTACCCGCTCTCACTTCCGCGGAGTTCTCCTTCCTATACTGTGGGCACCCGACTTTGACAGCCGGGTGCCTACTGCGCATGTGCGAGAAGCGCTGCGCTATGTGAATGGCCCGGCGTCTTTTGGGACCTGTTGCATGTCCCAAAAGACACCGACCATTCACAAACCGCAGCGCTTCTCGCGCATGCGCAGTGGGCACCCGGCTGTCACAGATGCCGGGGCGGGAAGAAGCCGGCGCGGGAAGACTACAGCGCTGGACCGAGGAACAGGTGAGTTCCTGCCGCAGAGAACAGCTGAGCGGCCAGCCTGGTATTCTGACATGGTGGAGGCAGAAAATACCGGACCGGCCACTTTATATTCGCTCCATAAGATGCACTGACATTTTCCCCCCTTTTTTGGGGGAAAAAGTGCGTCTTATGGAGCGAAAAATATGGTAATTCTTTTTCTACGCCTTGAATAGATCACCAGGTGCCTAAAGCTGAGTACACAAGGTCTGAATATTGGCCAGTTCAGCAAGTACCAACCAACATTTGGACCAAGTGTAGCGTTAATACAAGGTTTAGTCATGTTTCATCTTATCTGCTACATGAAATTTGAGCCAATCAAGGGACACAATGTCATTGTAAAATAAATGGTAAACTTTCTGGTTCATTACTCCACCCACTGTGTAAATCTCTCACTTTACTAGTGTCAAAGGAGCCCTATATGATCACAATGTCTCTGCTATGCTTGACATCTGTACTCTTATAAACCCACGCTAGGATATTATTAAAAGATCCCAGCTGCTGTACTCTTAAGTGTCTAAAAAATATTTGTGCACGTATACAGCGCTCTACTTTTCAACAGTGTTGTTACCCTCTGCTTCATAAATAAAACAATGCATACAAATAAAATGAATTACAAAATAAAATAATCCATACATATACGCACGGACATTTTATTGTGAAGTGTCAAATGCTCTTGGTAAGAAATGCTCAGTGCTGGGCTTCTTAAAAAAAAGCAAACAAACCACACACTATTTAGTTAAATTCTGTTTTTTTATCCTGCGACTGCTATATCAACACTTTGTGCTTCAACCCACTGTGTCCAGTGTGATCCTTCACCTCCATACCTGAAAACTCACAAGGCTTGCATGACACCTTTCTAGCAAATGTGGCTCAACATGTATTCCTCAGGGATTCAACCATCCGGAGCTTCCAATACTGCTTAGGATCATATCTCATCACATAATGTACCATATAACAAGTAATAACAGTACTCAGCATATACACCTCTTTTAAAAAGTAAGATTTTAATCAATATTTCAATGAACACCAGAATAATTTCCGAATTTTGACAAAACTGAGTGTTATAGAACATTTGTTTAGCTCATTACATGAAAGTAGGGTTAATAATATAGCTTAGATTACAAAATCTTCAGTTTTAAGCAAATTAGTTTATGCAAAAATGACAACAACAAAAACTACTACAGTTAGTATTTTGTATGACCTCCATGATTTGTAAGGACAGCACCTTGGCACGGAATTAACATGTTGGTGACATTTTGCAACATCCATCTTTTTCCATTGTTCAAGAACGACTTCTTTTGTAGCCTGGATGCTGGATGGAGAGTAATGCTCAACTTGTCTCTTCAGAATTCCCCATAGGCGTACGACTGGGTTCAGATCAGGAGAAATACTTGGCCACTGAATCACTTTCACCCTGTTCTTCAGAAATGCAACAGTGGCCTTAGATGTGTGTTTTGGATAATTGTCATGTTGGAAACATGCACGACGACGACCAAGGGCACGGAGTGATGGTGGCATCTTCTCTTTCAATATCGAGCAGTACATCTGTGCTTTCATATCATCAATGAAATGCAGCTTCCCAACACCTGCAGCACTTATGCAGCCCCAGAGAAGGACACTGCCACCACCATGTTTCACTGTAGGCACCATACATTTATCTTTGTACTCCTCACCTTTGCGATGCCATATAGTTTTGAAGCCATCAGTTCCAAAAACATTTATCTTGGTCTCATCATGCCAGAGTACAGAGTCCCAGTAGTCATCTTCTTTCTCAGCATGGGCCCTAGCAAATTCCAGGCAGTCATTTTGTGCATGGGTTTTAGGAGAGGCTTCCTTCGTGGATGACACCCATGCATGCCATTTCTCTGCAGTGTACGCTGTATTGTGGCTTTCTACTTCTTTAGCTAACTGCAGTGAACTTGCATGGTGATTTTCTTAAACCGTTCTCATCAGAAGACGCTGTCGAGGTGTTAACTTCCGTGGATGGCCTGGATGTCTCTGTGAGATGGTTCCAGTTCCATCTTTGTTACATTTTTGTAGCACTTTTGCTAGTTTTGCTAGAGCCAATGGCTCCCGCTGCTGCCTCTCTGTCCAATGAAGAGAGTGAGAGCTGCTGCTTTTGTCCACATCGCTGGACTGAGATCAGGGTCATGTAAGTATTTTGTGGGGAATGGAGCTGCTAGCGGGTGTTTCACCTTAACCCCTTGGCACCGGCGCCTCCCGGCCCTTTAAGGGTTCCAGAAGTTGGGAGGCGGGGCAGGGTTTTAGGGTCATGTGACCGCCGTAATTCGCTGCCACGGCGGTCACATGATCAGGAAACGTCCCGATCGAAAGAGGAGATCGGGACCTTTCCGTGAGTACGGAATATGTGTGCTGGGAGCGTGCAGGGCACATGTGTTTTTTTTTAATAGACCGCAAATGTGTCGCCGCTTGGCGTCTAGGCTCAGACGCCAGGAGGCCGCACATTTGCGTTCGGCCGGCGCCAAGAGGTTAATGCATAGACCTTCTAACTTTATCATTGCTTTAAGAACTTGACTTGATTGGACCAACCCATTGGGCAATAGTAAGGGAAGGGTTAAGGCTTGAGCATAAGAGCAGAATGGAAGCTTCCAAGAACGCTCCCTGAGGACATCAAGTGACGAAACGAGTCAGGGAAGAGCTAAGCAAGTGATGTTATTCCGCACAGTACAGTGGATGATGGAGCCAGTTTCTTAGAGAGATCACTCGCATTATTCTTTTGTGTAGGGAGATTGCATGGTGATATGTGAATTGGCCCTTTATACGCTTTTAATGTGAATTTTTTCCTTACAAAATAGTTTTACGTTATGGAGGCCTTCTTCTTTTCTCTATGGCAAATATGTGTTGAGATATAATCCTAAGCAGTGGTGAAAGCTCTGAATGGTTCAACCCCTAGGGCAGTGGTCTCCAAACTGCGGCCCTTTGCTTGCCCTGATCCGGCCCTTGAGGAATTTTTTCTCCCACTGATACAAGACACTATTCCTCCTACACATAATTCCTGCTACTGACATCAACAACAGTCATTATTCCTCTCACTGAAACAAACCATGGGGCACTATACCTCCCAGTGACACCAACAACGTGGCACTATTTCTCTAACTTACACCAAGAATAGGGCGCTATTCCTCCCCTAATGCCAAAGATGCATGGTTTACTTCCAATGACACAGGAAAATTTCTACTCCCAATGGCCACAGTTCAGCCCTCCTAAAGTCTGAAAGCTAGTAAACTGGCCCTTTGTTTGGAGTCTCCTGCCCTAGGGGATAAAAGCGCACGTTGACACAGTGTTTGCTAGAAAGGGGTCATGGAAGTCTGGTGAGTTTTTCAGGTGTGTCTTTTTCCTCCTGCCACTTGATCCTTGTCAGCATATTTGCCTCCCTCTCCCAGGAGGTATACTGTGGTGGTATTTGTTTACTCTTTCAACACTGTTACCTACTGATTTTCACACTGGTAATCAAATTTTGTTTTGAAACCAAGACGTAAAAATTTCCACCCATTCTCATTTAAATATAAGGATGCTACGCAGCATCACTTCTCTTGTGTTGTATACTAGGTGTAGTTCTCAGAATATATACAAATATATTTGTATGGACCCTTTAGAGTATGTATGGAACCTGTAAGTACCACATTTCTTTTTCTGTACAAATTGTTATAATCTCTATAAATTTTTTTACGTTTGCATAGACACTGTGCATTACCATTTCTCTTGCATTTTTGATTATTTTGTGGTTTGTGCCTCCTCATGTTTCCTTTGCACGATACAACTTCCCATGTCAGCTCAACATTTTTTAAATTAATGCACATAATGAATAAGTTATGCCTTTTAAACAATTTAGCAACAACATAATTTGCCCACCACCTCCTTATCAATTTATAAACGTTATCCTAGGGGACAACTCTACATAGGGAAGCAGTATATCTTCATGCTTAAATGCACCTAGCAAAGTCTCCTAGTACTTCTTAGGATTCTTCTTAAATTACAATATAAAATGTAAATAAACGTAGTAAACATAGTAACAAATCAAAAATGATAAATGCAATGGGAAATAATCTGTTTCTTTCTCAGAGAATATATACATACCTTTCTGAGCTCCCAAAGGCTAGTGTTATCAGCGCCACAAAATATAGGATTTCTATTCAAAGGATCATAATGATTCACATTACTAATACCTGTAAAAAAAAAACAAAAAAAAAAAAAAACAACCAAATGTTTAAGCATTAAGTAGACAATATAACACCCCTAAGGACAATAAACCTTGGATATGTGTTTAGTGTACAAAATTAAATATTTTTGTCAGTATAAAACAGGTATATTTGCATGTCAAATATTAACAAAAAAAAAAAAAAAGTACTACATAACTACCATCTGTTGCATTGCCTAATTACCTCTGCTCCCTTTTCACGGGATTTGATTGACAACAGAAGGAGCCAATGGCTCCTGCTGCTGCCTCCATGTCCAGTGAGGAGAGAGAGAGATAAGAAAGCCGCTTCTCTCAGGCAAAGCTCTAGATCAAGATTGGGCTCAGATAAGGATTTAGGAGGGGTGAGAGGGAACTGGACACAAGGATTTTTACCTTAATACAGAGAATACATTAAAGGATAAGTTCACCTTTTGTAACATGTTACATCCATATTCAGGGTGTAACAGGTTATGATCAGACCGGCCTCTCTGCACCCTACCCCCCTCCCCCAATCCCCATTGTGACAGCTAGTGGGAGATCTTCAACTCCCTGCTAGCTGTCACAATTTTAAAAGGTTGCCAGATGGGGCTCTGCCCACCCGGCTGTGTCACTCAATCACAATATTCTTTGAAAGGAAAAACTACAAGTCCCAGCAGCCTTTGCAGCTGTCAGTTTGTAGTTTTAAATGAACTACCACGGATTGCTGGTGCAATGCTTTAGAGCCTCCACAAACAAAAAATAATAACAGCACATATTTTTTACCTCCAAAAAAAATTTGCATTTATAATTTTTGGTTAAAAGGTGAACTTATCATTTAAGGTAAAAAAAAAAAAAAATCTTCTGCCTTTAGGGCCGGGTTCACACCAAGTCCATATCTGAATGCATTTGCCCACACTGGATCACATGGTACTTTTGTACCATGAGAT